ACCGTGTTCAGCGGCAGGAGCGTGAGGTGATGCTAAAGCTGAAGGAGGTGGTGGATAAACAAAGAGATGACCTGAGGGCCAAAAGCCAGGAGATAACTACCATCACCAAAGAGGTGGAGGCGGTAAGGAGACATACGATATAATTCACTCTTAACCTTTTTTCATTCTTTCTTTTTAGGAGGCTGATAGATTAACTTTCTTAGATATTTTCTCGTTTTCGGACCACTCTGTGTAAACTCTATAGAGATGGTTGTGTGGGAAAATCCCAGCGGATCAGCAGTTTCCGAGAAACTCAGAGCAGCCCATCTGGCACCAACAACCATGCCCGTTCAAAGTCACTTAAATAACCTTTCTTTCACATTCTGCCGCTCAGTTTGAACTTCGGTTTTTGCCATGTGATCAGCTGATTAGATCTTTGTTTAAACAAGCAGTGCTTAAAAGGTATACCTTATAAAGTGGCTAGTGTGTCTATCTATTTTTGATAACATTATAAGCTTTGACATTTCTGTTGTGATGTTCCACTTACAAATATTTTAGTGGCCTAGAGTAACAAGTTTGACTGCTGCAGAGGCCTTGAGGCAGATGATTCCCATGGTGACAATGGAAACTAATCTAAAGATGGAGCTGGGTCGGGTTAACTCTTCACTGAAGAATAACGACTGAAAACATCTTTAATTTAATCAAAACATTTTATCATTTCTTTTAAAGGGAAAGGAAATAGTAGAAGTATAAATAAACAAACATTAAAATATATTGGCTCGGTCACTTGAGAATTAAGATGAAAAGATGTATGAAGTGCAGCCCTTAAATAATAAAAAGTGTTCTTTGTCCATGTGGATCACAAGGTTACACTCAATCAGATTTATGGCTGCAAGTTGTGTTTCCTTACAGACTTTCTGACTTTTCCCATGGAAACAGTAGCATTTTTTTCATTATTCTCAAACCCTGTTTTATGTATTGTGTTATTTCTATATATATCATACATACTCACATACACAGTCGTGGAGTCATGTGTCGCACAGCAACACAAGAGAACTTGCATCATGTAAACCGCTCTAACGGAGCCACTGGAAGGCAGAAAGTGTGCTAACTGTCAGGAAAAGAGGGCAGGGATTATCCACACAGTTACTGCTTGATGATTTAAGCTGCACTTTAGACAAGTCAGGGCACTGTTTTCATCTTGGTACAGCCACAGTGTGGGTGTGTGCTATTGTGTGAGTGTTTGCACGTGGCTGTATGTGTGTCAGGGCATGTATACCACATGATTTAAATAGCGGCCATAACTGGGTGTGTTTGTTAATGCTTGGCGTTTTGCACCCAATCAGCTGACTTTTAAACAGAAAGAAAAACTCACTTCATGGTCAACTGGGGGAAGTAAAAGAGTTGGCTTTGATTTGGTTTGGTTAACCAAGGAGTATTTTTTATTTTATTTTAAATAATGCCTATTTTTTAATCCTTTATATTAAGGCAGAGTAATCTTATATACCACATTTCCAATTTCCATTTTTGTGGGTCAGCCTTGGTTCATTGATTTAGCCATAAGCTGTGTTTATAACTGTCTGCAGTACTGCTCATGATGCAAATTTGTAAATCATATATATATGTGTATGTTTATGTGTGTGTGTGTGTGTGTGTAGCTTCAGGAGCAGCTGGAGCGCTTTATGAAAATGAATGCAGAGTTGCGACACAAGCAGAATGTTTTGCAGGCCCAGCTGAAGAGCACCGTGGAGAGGAAGGCCGACATGGAGGCCGACCTGAAGGAGAAAAACAAAGAAATAGAAAACCTCCAAGCACAGCTCGACAGAACCAACAGCAACACGCCGGTATGCACACCTTTCACACTGGATACGACAGATATGTTTCTTTACTTTCCCGCATAATGAATAAGATGCTTCTTAGAGATACCTTAATATTTACTTAAGGCCTTAAAAGGGAAATTTGTGAACTTTGGACTCCAACGTCACTCTAGAGTGTTTAGAGAGTTTAAGCTTGCACTGTTGATCAAATAACTGCTGCTCTTTGCTGAATCAGCTTTGTGGTTGAATTAATCTGTTGATCACTGTTTGTTGTCCCGTCAGTCCCGACCAAGTCAAACAGCACAGGAGCCAAAGAAAAAGCCAACATCCGATCAGAAGGATCCCGATCAGCCGTGCTTCACCAAGAAGGAGGTGCGCGACATCCTTTTCGAGAGGAACGAGCTAAAAACCAACCTCTTCCTGGTGCAGGAGGAGCTCAGCTACTATCAGAGGTGGGTTTTCTTGTTTGGGTGCATGTGTTCTTGTTTTAATTGATGGTCATGGTGCCAGTGAAGTTGTCTACACGCTGAAAGGACTGTATGTGTCTGCAGGGAAATACTGAACGAGGAGAGGTGTCCAGGTTTTCTCTTAGAAGCTGTGCGCTCTGCCATCAAGAAAAAAAGAAAGCTCATTAAAGCCAAGATGCTTGGGATTCCTAACAACGAATGCAGCAGCAGGTATTTCTTACAGACATGATTTCTAGAACAACAATAGGAAACAATGCGCAGATTTAAAAAGATGTTCAGAAAGCGAAAGGGGTTTGAGTGACTCTGTTTTTTCCTCGGCAGTGATGAGGAAGACAGGAGTTCTCTGTTTGGCCAAACAGAAGTGGATGGAACAGTGAAACCGGCTGAGTCACGTATTCGAAACTTGTGAGTACGATGTCGGACAATCACTCCGCATTGGTCAGACTGGAAGCCAGAGTCCTGGTTTGTAAAAAGCAGCAGAACCTGGTGGTGTTTTATATTTATGTTTCGGCTTATATTAGTGCTCTTTTCATTCCTACATGAGGTCACAGTGCTGATTAAAGCTGTCATCCGTCTCATTTCCACATCTGTTGCACATTTACTGAAACAGAATGCTGGCAAAATGAACCATAAATTAATTTTCAACAGCTTCAGCGCTTTGCACTGTTCCTGTCAATAAACATAGAGCAAATGTAATAAGAAAGTGAACCACTCAGAAAGAAAGAATAAAAGCAGAAACACTGCAGACATCACTCCATCTCCCTCACTCTGTTAACAATGTCACCCTCCTCAGATTTTGTCAATCCCGGTCTATATTTAGCAGTAATCCCTGACTGCAGATCTGATCTCAGGCCTGTCCCTTCTGCTCTGTCGCCTGCAGCTTTGGCTTCCTGACGAGGTCAAGCAGCGGCCCGGGTCCCACCGACGTGAACAACTCCTCCTGGGAGATCATCAGAGACTCCGAGGCCAATGAGGAGGCGGAGCAGCTGAGGTCTTCCTGAACGCATTACTGAGCACAGAGATTGAACTGAGAGATTTCTCCAAGTTTGACACTCAGACAACACTTTCTCCTCACCTCAGTCACAACTTCTCTGTGGTTTTTGCTCAGGGCATTTGAATGCAGACCCAGAGCACCGCTGGAAGATAAAGAAGCGCTTTTAAACAATCCCCTCTTATTTCCTGAAATTAAGTTTCAACCATGATTAGTTCATGTCTGATGCCTTCCCCTTTATCATGGAAGGAGAAAACAAGAGGAACATTGTGTAACTACAGTACGATATAAGAAATACTGCTATGATATTCTGTACAGGAAGACAATCATGATTTTTTTCATTCTTAGAAAAAAAATGTATTTTTGGTAATTCAGTAAAATCAGATTCAGTGTTTATATGTATTTAAAAAAAACAAAAAACCAAAGACATAGTTTGAGTTTTAAATAGATATAAGTATCTACTTTAATAGTACATAAAGCAGTAAATTAAGTTCTGCTCATTTTATAACTCATACAAATATTTTCACAAACAATTACAATCTAACTCATACCTCAGTGAGGGAATTTTAAAGCCATGTGGTTACTCTATGTTTAACCTCCTAGGACCTGGCGTCCACATATGTGGACATCACATTTTGGGTTATTTAGACCAAAATACTCAATTTTGCTCTACAAGGGCCTGATATCCACTCACGAGGACATTATAGTGCTACTGTTCTATCAAAATTTTAAATGAATATCCTCATATGTGGCTCTTATTTTTCTTAAAAACAAAAATAAAGAAAACAAAAATTCTTTGTTTTTACATTCATTGGGCCCCAATATGTCCAAATATCAAAGAGAAACTAAAAATGCATGCCGTGGAAGAGTTCAGGTCTTAGGAGGTTAAATGATCTGAAGCACTTCTATGCACAAGGAAACAGAAAAGTGAGTGCAGTGCAGGTTAGGAGAGTGCATCTTAACCCCATAAGCCTTATTTTAGTGCTCATAGTGTAAAAATCAATCAATCATGTATCAGTATTCGGGTATTTGATGGTGGTGCCCTAAACGTGTGCTTTCAGCACCACCACTTTAAATGAACCCCTCTGTTCTCTCTAAATGTAGTAGAAACTACTCGGGCAGGCCAGTGGCATGTGTAAAGGGAGAATGAATGAACATTGAGTAAAACCACCTTCTCCTGACATCCTTTGTGGGCAATTTATTTTTGTAAGCATCTTTGTAATGGAGCATTTTCTTTGTTTGTTTTTATGATGTAAACACATTTAAGGTGTTATTTGCCATCTGAGTGAATTTTATTATAAAACAACTGAAAATGTGTGACATTGAGATTTCAATAAAAACATCTATTAAACAGAGAATATATTTACAAAAGTGAAACAATCTCAGTTCATTTTTTTTACCCTCATAAGAAAAGGAATAAAGAATGCTGAATAAGCTTTCACTGGATCTCAAATTGATCACATGGGCATCTTTTCACCGACTTTCACGACTTATAAGGAAGACAAAGGCTTCCTTCATCATCTCCTGTAAGACCTACTGCAATAGATTCTGACAAAAGGGTGACCATCAGTACGTGTGTGTTTGTTCGTACGCGCCCCATCGTTGTGTACGGCGAGTTTTGTGTGTTAGTGTTCGACCATCTTTAAAAAGCTCTTGTGTCTGGCTGAATAGAAGGAAGTGGCTCTGACTTCCCCAGGAAATGGGAAGAGGAAACCCGGGGGCTTCGACCTCTCTGGCTACGCTGGAGCCACAAGACGACTCACCGGACAGAAAGAGAGAGGGAAGGGTGGAGGGAAGGGTGGAGGGTAGGCTGAGAGATAGGTACTGCCCCTCGTTTTTCTCCCCTCGAGTTGAGACAAAGACAAGTTGGGAGCAGAAATAAAGACGGGAATATATTTGTCCCTGGTTGTGCTTTCAGATTGGAGATGAAGCTTCTCCTCAGAGCTCTCAGTGCTCTGCTCTGCTTCTCGCTGGCCTGCGCTCACACTCTGGATCCTGCTGGGAAGAACGTCTGCCAGAATATAAGGTAAACTCCAGCTTTTCCTTCACTCGCACATACTGGCTTTTGAGTCTTAAGTGGCAACAGCGGGTTACCGAATTAACGTTTTTGGCGGCCTTCGTCTGGCTTGTGATGAATATTAGTGCCATGAGATTGTACTGTTGGCTTGTGGGTTGTGTGGCCCGTCCTTCTTTAGGATGACATGGCTGAATGCAGGCACTGGAGTGTTTTTTCTACTAAGGTTTCAGATTTATCAAGCTGATTTGATGATGTCTGTAATTCTTAGGGATCCCTCTAACCTGTTCTGTTGCCTTGGATGGCGCCAGGAGGGAAAAGAGTGCACAATACGTAAGTTCTAGTATTCTAATGATTATTATTCCTATGCTGTTACCACTTCTACATTGGCTTTGTTTTCTCTTTGTGTTTGTGTGCAGCTGTATGTGAGGGTGAGCAGGCCTGTTTGAAGGGTGAGATCTGTTTATATCCTGGATTATGTCGCTGCCCACCTGGCTACTATGGTGCTGAGTGCAAAACCAGTGAGTTAAAACGTCCATTCGTTGTAGAAGAAATAAGAAAAATAACAATATAAAAATATTATAGTGTTGATAATTACTATATTTTAGTCTAGTAATAGCTCTTTATGTACTCACTGGTGTGTTGTTTCTAGACTGTCCTCTTGAGTTCTGGGGTCCAGACTGCCGTCAGATATGTAAGTGCTATCCTAACGGGCGCTGTCATCCAGCCACTGGCGAGTGCACCTGCCACCCACTCCGTTGGGGCCCACTATGCAAGCAAACCTGCCGGTGTTCCCGGCACGGGCGCTGCCACCCCATCCACGGAAACTGCACCTGCGACACCAGCTATTCAGGTTCAACCTGTGCCAAACCGTGCCAGTGTGATATCGGTGGGTCTGTAGGCCCCAGCTGTGACCAGCAGACAGGCAAGTGTCAGTGCCACAAGGGGCACTGGGGGATGAGGTGTACAAACCCGTGCGACTGTAACCAGTCCCCGTGTAATCAGCGCAATGGTGTGTGCGAGTGCAAGCCTGGCATGTGGGGAACCAGCTGTGACCTGAGTTGTAAATGTGACCTCAAACACAGCAGCTGTGACGTAATGAGTGGGACGTGTCTGTGCCACCCAGGATACAAGGGCCTCTTCTGCAACCAGCCCTGTGAAGCAGGAAAGTATGGCATTGACTGTAAAAGGAGGTAGGTTTCAATGTGTATGTGTCTGTGTCTCTGTTTGTTTGTGTGTATATCATGTTTACATATCTTTGTGGGGATCAAAAATTGAAAGCTTGCTATACTTGTGGGGACCAACAACCCCTATGAGGACGAAAAACCCGTCCCCATGTGTTCGAAGGCATTTGTGAGACTTAAAATGTGGATTTAGTGTCAGGGTTAGGGGTAGACATTCATTTTTGATGGTTAGGGTAAGTAGCTAGGGAAAGGATCATATCAATTAGATGTCCCCACAAGGATATAAAAACACGACTGTGTGTGTGTGGAAAGAAAGGTGGATACACGTGAATGTGTGTGTTCTCACTGCTGAACTTTATCCCTTGTCTTCAGTTGTGGTCACTGTAAAGACAACCAGCTTTGCTCTCTGATCGATGGCACATGTGCAGCCTGTGAGCCGGGCTGGAACGGTACGCGATGCGACCGCCCATGTTCATCTGGTTTCCATGGTGATGGCTGCAAAGAAGGGTGTCCACGATGCAGGAACAATGAACCCTGTGACCCAAAAACTGGGTTGTGTCAGAGCTGTGATCCCGGATGGACTGGACCCAGGTGCGCGCGCATATTTTGGGGAAACATTAGCAACAATACATAAAAATTTACACTATTTACAACTAACTGCTTTACAAAGTACATTACGAGTCATTATTTTTCACCTTTTTTTGGTGCGTTTTTACACTTTGACATAATCAAAGCAATTAATAGGTAAAAGGAAAGAATTAGCTTTCAAATTAAAACCTTATTTCCAAAAAAGTAGGACGCGTGATGATTTGCAGATCTCATAAACTCGCATTTTAGTCACAGTAGAACATAGAAAATGCAATTTAAAGAAAAATATTTACACATTTTTGATTTGATGGTAGCAACACATCTCAAAAATGTTGTGAAAGGGTCATGTTTACGGCTTTGCAGCATCCCTCATGTCTGTTTTTAATGCAGTGCTGTCTGAAGGCTCGAAGATCACGGGTTTTGATTTTTGGTAGTGTCCCTTGCACACAGAGATTTCTCCAGATTCTGTATTGTAGATAAAAAATTAGTCAAAGCTGAAGTTGTTCCACAAGTTAATGGCTCAATTTTTTGAACCTCTGTCCATCTTTACTTCTGAGTTTTTTGGGAATTGGGGTTCTAAATATACAGAAATGCTAAAATGTAATAACTGGCTACTTAATCACTGTGTTATTTAAAAAAAAAAAGAATAAAAATGATCAGCGGCCTGCACCTCACTGGTCTTAGGAAGCATCCTGTGATCAGTGTGGTTCATATGCTTTAGCTCAAACTGAAAAATCAATCAATCAGTAAATTGTCTGTCTGTCACAGATTATAGTTATTTTTGTCAGAAGCTCCATTGTCATCCTGTGGTGTGATCTGGGGACTGAAAACACTTCCGTACTTGTGCATACAGCTGTTCGTGGGAGGCTCTGACATCCGTGAGTTGGCTGTCAAAGCGCATTTCACTGACTAGAGACATAATCAGAAAGTCAGACCCAGAAGACAAGAGATGATTTGAGTTTAACAAAAAGAGATGAATCTGCTAAAAAGTCCAAGTTATTCACTGCTTACAACTGTACTGCAGTCTCTTGAACATGACGGATTCAAAGAGTTGCTTGGAAGAGTTAAAACTTATGGATTAAGTTGCCTAAAGATGCAAAATTAATAAAATGATCCATGTGGTAAAACGTGAGCACTGCTTATGACACTTAAGCTCAAAAACAGTCTGCTTATAGAGGATGGAAAGTTTGTACCGCCAACAGTGTAAGTGTGTTAGTAATCTCTGTCCTCGTTTTTCTGTCCTCGTCCAGGTGTCAGGAGCGCTGCCTTAACGGGAGGTTTGGAGACGCCTGCCTCTTGACGTGTAGTCCTTGTTTTCATGGCAACTGCCATCATGTGACAGGAAAATGTGTCTGTGCGCCAGGCTTCCAGGGAGAGAGGTGAGAAAATTAAAGCATTGCTTACTGTTGGATAGACTTACTGTTGCAGATGCAGCTTTTATCAAAGGTTAAGATTTTAAATAGTTAAACTGCACTCCCAGATCAGTTTAAGACTGTGTTTAACTGACAATCCAGCAATTTAGAAACTTACAATTAACCTAATTAGTTGTGGGATGTTCCAAAAGGTGGTAGCATTGCAGAAGTTTTCTAGTCACACCAACCATGGTAAAAAAATGAAACTAACTACCTTCATGACTTGGATGTCCTTTACATTATCCAACCATATATTGCCCACTGGTGTAATCGCAGTCAAGGTTTCAACTAATAAAACTACATTGAACTCTTTTCAAGAAGCCTTCAAATTTAAATTTTTTCTGATTTCACTCTTTCTCTTGCCCTGAGTGTACGATCTGAGGTTAGTAGGTTAAAACATGGAAAACGTGGCCCCTTTAACTTTCTTCTCTGTGATGCTTGTACGTCATCGTTATGTGTTCAGCCAGTACTAAAATAAAATCTTGATTTAACTTTCTTACTCACTGTGACTCATGGATGTTTCCAGCTGTAACAACAGCTGCCCTGCCCTCCGGTTTGGCTTCAACTGTTCTTCTGTCTGCGACTGCGGTGAGGGGGTGGCCTGCGACTCTGTGACCGGAGCCTGTCCTAACAGTACGTCCATCCATCCACTCAGTTATCTGTCAGTTTTGTGTATAAATGTGTACATTAGTGTGTCTTGTACTTTCCCTTACATGTTTGTGTGTGTGTGTGTGTGTTTAAATGACAGGTTACAGAGGTGCTCTGCTTGCGGGTGTTCTGGTTCCTTTGCTCCTGTTGCTTCTTGCTGTAGTTTGCTGCTGCTTGTGTTGTGGAGGACGCCCGGCTGGTGACAGAGACAAAGACAGGTCAGCAGCTACTTTTCTTTTAGGCATTTTATCTTCACTTTGCATAGACGGTAAAACATGGAAAGCAGGCTACGTTTATCATTCTATATAACTTTACATGATTTCTTTTGGTCGTAGTACAACTGTTGCTGATGGCGGCTTCTTGGTTCGGATGAAGTATCACGTTTATAGCGTCCTGGCAAACATTGGCGCTGCCCTGCCGTGTATCTCTGCCTGGTCCTCTGGCCTTCCTCGTGTCACCGGTCAGTCTTGCCACTCACAGTGCTCACAGTGTAATGCAACTATTGTATACAAACTTCATAAAAGTACAAAAAAGACTATTTTAATCATCATTAAGATTTGAATTCTTTTAAAACGTCTACTGTGTGCATGAATTATGACCAGAAGCTGTGATATTTAGTTCTATTATTATTATTCTTTTTAAATTAATCTGCTTTCTATGTCTCATGTAAACACACACAGTGTCACACCATGACCCTGAGCTGACCTTCAACCACAGCTTCATTGAGCCTCCTTCCTCTGGCTGGGTGACGGAGGGATCGTCCTTCGACAGCGATGAGGAGACGGGAGAGGCTCTTTACTGCGTCCCTCCAATGGAAGGTAGGGGCAAAAATAAAGTTCACCAGTTAACAAAGTTTATAGTGCCCTCTTTTGGTGCAAGGTAGAACTGCCACTTTTAAAAACTCTTTCTGGCACTGGTTGATGTTTTGCTCTGTTTCTGTTAGACATCCCGGCTGTGGCGGGTGGTGAGTTCCAGGAGATGAGCTCAAAGTGTAACATGTTCTTAGACCCATCGGGCTTCAGCAGCGAGGACATCTCCTCACCCTTTAACATCCCTCGCACCTCCAGCATTGCCAAGGCCAAGCGGCCATCCGTCTCATTTGCAGAAGGCACCCGCTTCAGCCCCAAAGAGAGGCGTGGCTCTGCTCAGGACCCTTGTGCTCTCCCTCGCAGCAAACCCAAATCATCCTGGGGGGTTTTGATGCTATCGGCCCTGCAAAGTCAGGGAAGCACAGCTAGAACTGGGGAGGGGAACGGACTTGAGGGCGAGAAGGAGAAAGATGGAGTGGATGTGACCGACAGTCAGGAGTTAAACTGTGAGGAGGCTGACCAGGAAGTAGACAGAACCCCATCAAGGTCCACCCTGCAGGTTCCTGGAGCATCAGGACGGAGACGGACTATGTCTAACACAGCTGCTCATAAAGGGACATCGTCCGCCTCTGATGCTCAAGAAGGGGGCTCTCATAAGGTCACCACTGTGTATGTGACGGTGGGTAAGGCGGGTAAGCCCATCACAAAAACAGAGCCGAGCTCTGAGGGCCCCGTTCAGGCGATGCTGCGAAGACTGGGCAGCCTCCAGAGGCAAAAAGAGCAGGAGTCTGGCAGGCCTAAGCCGAAGGGGAGTGAAGGCATCATCAAACCACCCAGGAAGAAGCTGGGAGCTCGGGCGGCTGTTTGGGAGCAGGGAGGACCGTCTACAAGGGAGGCTGGAGTTTGTAAGCCAATCAGGAGGAAGCACTCCTCCCACAACTCCTCTGATGCAGAGGGATCGAATGGCACACTGCCAACAGAGAGTGGCACTCCAAAACGGCCGCTGTCGTCCATTTTAAAGAGCGTGCCTGAAGTGGCATCAGCCGACTCGGGGTCTAATCTGCGGGCCGAAGGAGACGAAAGGCAGCACGCTGCCCCGCATCATGAAGAACAAATTGAGAGCTCCTACCGGACTCTGAGACCCGTGGGAGATGGCGCAAGCCCCATTGAAATCATCACCAACGAAGGAGCGGCGGTCAGTGTGACTGATGAACCCTGGTACGAAAATGTCCAGATCAAAAACTCGTGACCTCTGAGAAAACGGGTCAGCAGGACTGATCGAAAAACAGCCGCATGTTTGTTATCCTGCAGTTATAACTGAACAATGGGGAAAGCTTCTCTGAGAGATTTGTGCAGCTGCAGCTCACATGACTGAAATAACAGAGAAATTGTGATTTTAAAAATAGCAACCGTTAATGAAATTTCAAACAACAGATGGAACAAGAAAACAGGGTGTTTTCTAACAAGAACGCTACGCAGTCCGTTGTTGCCTTGGTGTTGTTCCCACACTGTAACCCATGTTTCCCCAGTACCATGACCCTGAACTGACCGATCATGCTGTTATGAATTTTTATCTTTGCAACTTAGTTTTTCTTCAGGCCTTTTCAATACTCACTAAACATATTTTCCCTAAACCTGTAACCAAGTGTTTCTGGTTTAACCTAAAAACAACTGCAACTGAAAACTGAAACTACTCTTTTTAGTATTATTTTAATCTAAGCCTAAAAATCAAAATATTTACTTTTACATTAGCACAAACTTACAGTCTCGTGGGTGAAAGTCCTGCATTTAGACTTTCATTAGCCAACAGCTTTAGGAGCAACATCAGCTGGGTCCTGGGTTTGAATCCATTGGCTGTTTTGGGGCCTTTCTGTTCTCTCTGGGTACTCTGAGTCCCTCCCGCAGCCCAAAGGCATGTATGTTAGATTAATTAGTGAATCTAAATAGGCTGAAAGTGTGAATGTGAATGTGTGACGATCCATGGGATTGGCTCCAGCACCCCCATGATGGATGGATGGACAGATGTAATATCTGCACCTGTTGTGCTTATATAGTCAGAAAGGATAAATGGAAGTAAAGAGTGGAAGTTTGTGGAAAAAGAAGCAGTGATGAACATCTGGGTGGGTTCCCAGAAGATAATAAAATGAGTGTGATGAACTTTTTGATTGATTTGATTGATTCAGTTAAGTGTGAGGAAAGGATCTGAGTCTGCTGCTCTGTGGATATTTTATTAGTCTTGGATGAAACTCAGGTAAGAACAGGCTGTAACAGATTGTAGTCGCGATTCACTCAGAATCAGTACATGCTTTACACATGAGGGAAAAGCCCGGCAGGGTTGTTTATTCTATCGTATAAATCAGTCAGAGAACTGGAATTGTAAAAATGTTTGTACTTCTGTGACCCAATGTTAAAGTTTCCTGCGAGTCCACAGCGCACGAACACTGCTGTGGGGTTAGAAACACATTGCTGCCCTGCTTGTGACCACTGGTGAATTAAACCTCCCCTGAAGTCTGTGTTAATATTTTATAGTATTGTTTTTTCACTGTATAAACATGACCGTGATTAATAAAAAGACAATAAACACTTTGGCTTTTGTAGATACATTATTCAGAATACACAGTAATGAATACAGTAATAATTGCAGATTAATTATCATTAACAGAGTTTAGCTTTCAGACGGATAAACGTTGCTGTCTCTGGGTCTCTCTGTTAAATGTGTTTTTCACTTTAGCTGCGTTTAATAAAGCTGACTGAAAGTCAGCCAGCTGAACTTTGGCCCTAAGCTGCATGTGGACTCTCACCGATACACCAATATTTGCTGAAGTCAGCTAGCTGTGTGTTACACTGCGCATGTTCGACACTTTTAACCCCTACCACTGCCTACTGCAGTAAAAACAACAGCTCTATTACACGCTAACTGGGTTACACTGATCAAAATAACAAACTAAAATTCTGGAAACTACTTCTTCTCTGCTCCAGGGGTGTCCGAACAGCCGAGCCAGTACTTGGCGATGGATCTGGGGTACGGAGGAACAGCAGGATCAACTCTCTTAGTCCTGATATCCACTCTGTAGTATTTATCTAGAAAACACAAAAACTCACTCAACACATGCTTACCAGTCACAGTTAGTATTCATATTGTCTGCTTTGTACACATACTATGCTATTATTATAGTGTGTGGAGTAGTGGTTAAACAAAAACCAGAATGACACTGAATATGACGTAAAGATTACAAACAGAAATGCACTTGGAGTAAAGTATAAAACAGAAACAATGTTAGGCATCTGTTTTTTGCTGTATGAACTATATACAGCATTAAAATGTAATGAAACTAGTGTGTGGTGAGAGAGAGCCGAGCACGTTAGTTCCTGTTGCCTCCCCCAGCTGTCTGCCGTCTACAGCTGTGACTCAGCTCTTAGTTTATGTGCCAGCAGTGTGAAGACCAAACACACAATATTTGAACAATGATAAAATCATCATTGTTATTTAGTCATTTAACCATTATTGTACGAGCCTTCATAAGCATTGCTGTTAATAACGGCCCTGCTTTTCCTGTGGGGGATTATGAGCATGAGATATTCTTTTTCTTTAACATCCTCATCTTCCTTAAAATGGATTTGATTTGATTACAGTTCCCAGGAAACCTTGAAATAAAGACAGTAACTCATGGGATATGCCTTTTCTCTTTCCTTCTGCTCTAGCTGACTTTGTAATGATTGATGTGCACTCACTGATAACTTCATTAGTTAGGGGTAGAATGGTGAAGAAAGGTGATTTAGGTTCTTTTTGACTGTCGCATGGTTGTTAGTCACCTCAAGGTGCTTTAAATTGTACAGACCCTACAGCAAAACACAGAAACCCCCCCAAATTAGACAGCCCCCAGTGAGGAAGCATTTGGTAACAGTGGGAAGGAAAAACTCAATTTTAACAGGAAGAAACCTCTGGCAGAACCAGGCTCAGGGAGGGGCAGCCCTCTGCCACAAACAGATGGAGTGTTGGAGTGTGGAAGTGGAATTTTCTGTGTGAAATGCTTTGATAATGCCAGCGGAAAGAGGAGAATAGCCAAAGTGCTTCGAGCTGATTGGAAGACAACAGTAACTCAAAAAAGGCACTCTTTACAGCCAAGGTATGCAGAAGAGCATCACTGAACGCTCAGCCCTTTGAAGCAGATGAACTACTGCAGCAGAAGACCGCACTGGATGCCACTTCAGCCAGCTAAAAACAGGAAACTGAGGCTAATAGAAGCTTGGGTAAACGTTGCCTAGTCTGAAACATTCAGATAGCCGGGTCAGAAAAAACAACATGGATCCATCCTGCCTTTTCCCAGCAGTTCTGGGTGGTGGTGGTGTCTTTGCTTACTTTGGGCCTCTCAAACACCGCCTACCTGAGTATTAATGCTGACCGTGTCCATCCCTTTATGGCCACAGCAAACCCATCTTCTGATTGCTGGTTCCAGCAGGATAGCAGACCATGCCACAAAACTCAGATCATTTCAAACTTGTTCCTTAAATATAACAACGAGTTCACTGCACTCAAATGACCACAGCCATGAGATCTCCATGAGAGAACCTTTGGGATGTGGTGGATGTGCAGCCGATAAAAACTGCAGCAACTGTGTGATGCTATCATGTCAATATGGACTGAAATCTACAAACTGTTGCTTAATTTAACAAAGAAAATGTTAAACTGTTCTTTTTAAATGCAATGCTTTGCTGCTTTTCTAATTTATATTACTATGAATTACAAAATAACCAATTAACCACATGTTGTAAGGCAGTAGAAATGAATGATTGAATACATTTTCAGAAACATTGTTTGATACGGTGCGTCCCATTCTGAATCTGTTACCTTCTTTGAAGAAGTAGACGGTCTGTATGGGCATCTCCCTTTGGAAGTCGTAGCCGTATCGGTCATCTCTGGAGTCATAGTTGCCTCTGTTGTTCTGGCCATAACGATCTCTCCGTCTGTCCTGGTCCCAGTCTTGATCCCACCGTCTGTCCCAGCCTTGTCCCAGCCTCTCTGCCATTTCCATCCTCCTCTCTGCCAGTCTCATACCCATTTCCATCCCTCTTTCAGCAAATTCCCGCCCCATGTTCATTCCCTGCTCAGCAAAGGAGCCCCAGGAGGGTGAACGATTTTGTCTCCGCCGACCCCACTGCTGGTTCCACTGCTGGTTCCACTGCTGGTTCCACTGCTGGTCCCACTGCTGGTCTTGCTGGCTGTTGTAGCGGCGTCGCGTCGACCTCCAAGGACTGATGTAGATTCTGCCCGCCATGGCAGCATCCACTGGAGACCTGAGGCCCTTCCAGTCCTTGTTAATAAAGTGGTGCTTACTATGATGCTGAGGCACTGCAGAAGATTAAAAATAAGTTAAACCACACACACGTGTGACTCCTGTCTGCACAAATAGGTCTATAACTGCACAACTCACGGTCAGAGAAGAGCTCGCCGAAGAAACGCTCATAGTTGTTGTAGTACACATCAGTGTAGCGCCTGAAGGGAGTGGACGGAGAGCTCTCAGACATTTTGATGCACTCCTCGTGAGACGGCTGGTGCAAAAACTCATACACATAATACTGGTCACCTGCAGAAAGGATGGTATGATGAGCCACTGATGTTCAGTACTACAGGAACAGCTGGAGATGTATGCAAACCAAAGCATCTGGTTGTACCTTTGAAAAAATAGACCTTCTCTTTTCCTTGGTGGCTGTGGGCAGGAAGGGCAAACGCTGCGTCCACATGATCGGGAATCCGGTCAAAGCCAACGTTTATGTATCGGGGATAGTCATCATCCAGCACGCCATTGTCAAACCTCCAGTACTTGTTTCCCTACATGGGTAAACATCAAATTTGTAGTAGATTAGCTTTTTAAAATACTTTTAAACCTAAACTATGACATAATGTTTCCAATATTGGCTTTGCCCTTTATAAGGCAGTCATTGAAATACATGGAAATGGAAAATTTGAGTGTTATTGGAGGACATTAAAAAAGCAAACTTTTTTCAAAGTTTTTTTTACTTTTTTAAAGTGCAAAGTCACTTTCAGCTTTTGATTTCTTTGGAGAGTTGCAAACAATTAAAGTGATCAAAATTACAAAGATAATTGGATTTGATTTGTTTTGGTTCCACCTTAAAGATGTAGGTCTTCCCCTGACAGTTGATGCGGGTGAACGCAGCATCAATGGACCCGCTGATGCCCCACACATCCTTAATGAGCTTTGGATAACCAGGGAGCACTGCCTTCTGGTCAAGTTCAAAGAAGTACTCCCCTGGAAAACAAATCCAGAGCGATCATGCTGTTTTATTTGTTACTTTCAAACATGAGCGAGACCATGACAGAGCCTGAAAGGTTGTCTTGTAACAGATGAATTCACTCACTGACCTCTGAAAGCATAGATGGAGCCATTTTTGATCTGCATGAAGGCGTCAAAAGGTCTGCCACTGCAGACCTCAGCATCTGGGTCAGGGGCCACGGTGGTGGCTGTTGTGGCAGGAACTGTGGTCACCTCGGTTGCTGCGCTGGTCGTGATGGAGTCCTCCAATGTGTGGGTGTCTGGGTGTGTCGCACGTGTCGGCGGGATGTTAGAGACTCTCAGTCTGGTCGGTCTGGTCATTTCCAGCGTGGTCTCAGGGCGTTCTTGCGCTCTGGGATTGAAGTCCGGCGGTTGTGTAGGCCTCAGCTGGTTGCGTGCTGAACGACGTGTGGGCTGAGGCGTGCTCTCAGATTGCCCATCGTAATAATCGTCTTCTGCAAACTGAAATGTGTCTCCGCGAGCTGAGGGGGGTGTGAGAGAAATGTCAACATCCATTTTTGACCTGTGAGTTCTTAACAGAATGAATGAACCAATGAGCAGAGCGGTTTCTTACTCATCATATTGCAGGTGGATTCAAAGTCAGAGCAGCAGCTTTTGTAGTACTTGCACATGGAGTCACACTGGCACTTCTTCCGGGCGTCAAAGCCATTTTCGCAGCGGTCCAAACATGACTCTGGAGATAAAACAACATGCTTCAGTCATTCCCTCTCTCCGCTGTTTGTACCTCAGAACAAAATTCATTTCCTCCTTTGGATAATAAACGTAAATTTGATTACAGCTCCCATGAGGCTTTGACTGCATGCCAGTGGCACAGACTCATGGGATATCAAAAACTCAATCTTACAGTGAATTAGGCAATATATTAAAAGACAGTTGTAATAATTCAAAATGATTACAGTTTTGTAGATTTAACAAAGTGCTCTAAAGACTTTACTCATTTTTCCACATATTTAACAACATTTTGGAAACAAAATAATTAATTTATCATGAAAATAATCAAATGAATTGTTTTTTATTAGCTGTACTGACAATAATAAATATGTCTACTTGTTAAGCAAATTGTTTGCTAGTGCCTCAAAGTTTATGCGTCAGACATTTTAATACAACAGTTAATGAACATAATTCAACTTTTACCACCCAAATTTGTACGCAATAGGTCCCAAATCAGATCTGAAGCGGGGTCCTGAACAGAGCACAAAGCTACTCTATGTTTCTCACAACGAAGTCTTCATGAAGTCAAAAGTAGATTTTGTTAGACTCACCGTCTGAAGCCAAAGTGTCGGCGAGCAGAGCGAGCAGCAGCACGGCCCACAGGTCCATGTTGCCTCCTCTGTGTCCGAGGACAGACTGAGGAAATAATGAAGGCCTGTGTGCTCCCTGTTATTGGAAGCATGTGCCAGTCACCCCACCTCCTCATTCACTTGAACCTTATTTGCAGACTTCTGTCTACTCGGACAAATAAACACAGACTGAGAGGGGAAAAGATCAATGGGGTGGGTGTGTGGATTACTGTTTGACCTCTGACCAAAGATGTTTGTACATTTTAAGTAGTTTGTGGTCATTTTTACAGATTTCAATTATTGAAATCAACATTGACTCTAAATATTCTAAAGACAGATATTCTACTCTGGCTGATAATAACTTTAAAGGCCTTTTCTGATGAGAAAATGGTGAAAAGCATCTTTCAGGGATTCCTTGTAACTTTTTTTAAAAATGAAAAATGTATCAATAATCTGGTCTCTTGCTAAATAGGAATTTTTGGCATTAAATTATGAACAGCAATATATTAATTAGAGATATTTTCACTGTAAGCAACTATTGTACACTGTGAAATGCACTATACACAGGTACACACACACACACAGGTCTTTATCACCAGCTTCCACATTTATTTATAGTTTTCCCAGGTTATGATATGAACACAGTCTGACAGCTGTCGGTCCCAGCTGATTTCCCTCCCCCTCCGCTCCTCTCCGTCTCACTATAAAAAGGGAAGGAAACCATTATCAGTCCAAATCGCCATCAGCTGTTCTCACCGGCATTTCCAGCACCGCCCCGTTGAGCCCACTGCACCACTCCTCCCCTGCAGCCGCGCCCGGGACCACACCTCCGCCACATACACATATCCTTTTAACACTTTTATAAACCACTCTGCATTTGGTTATTAGCTATTATTAATCTCTGGCTCTCATCCACAGTGTGTCTTTTGTTTTGTCTTCCTCCCTTCACCCCCAGCTGGTCGTGGCAGATGTTTGCCCCTTCTTGACCCTGGTTCTGCCGGAGGTTTCTTCCTCTTTAAAGGGAGTTTTTCCTTCTCACCGTCACCAAAGTTCTTGTTCATAAGGGGTTGTCTGATTGTTTGGGTGTCTCTGTATTATTGTAGCCCTTACCTTACAATACTGTTGCTGAGATTCGGTGCTAAATAAATAAAATTCAATTGAACTGAAATATTACCTTTAATTGTCAAAAGCTTGTTAGAAACTATGAAACACGTCACAGACTTCTGGATGTTAGAAGACAATTAATAATGCTCATGAATGAGACTAAAGGCAAGGAGGTGTGTTTTATAACTAAACATGTTAACAGCACCTCCACATTTATATCACAGTTTATTATATTGCACGTGTATTTCAGTAATAGGCTGTTTATTTCAGTATAGTGGTGTACACGAATTCAAATGTCCGAGGCCACAGGTGGCCACGTGGGCGTTATCCATATCCATAATCTATATGATATTCCTAAACTATAATTTATCCAAGTACACATCAGTTAACCAAGTCAGACAGTTTTTTTGCAATGAAAGACATAAACACTCATATATCACCGGTTAGTTACCGCAGTGCCGGCTGTTTAATTCAAGTAACCATGGTAACCACGGACTCTGAGCGGCTGGCTCGACGCAGGTCAGACAACTTTTACATATAAGATCTTAAAACAGGACACAGACACTGTAATTGCTGACCTAATATCAAATGTATACGTGGACTGAGTCTATGTTTGACGTTTGTTTTTATATCTAATCTTTACTCTCAAACCTTTAAACAGCAGCAAGTCTGCTGCTAAGAGAATACAGACTCAAACCGATTGATCATTTCTTTTTAAAGTCATCTGGAAGCGCCACGTTTTCACTCAGTCTTTTATTTACAGCACGATTTAAGTGTTTTAAACGGGGGAATGATGGAGGAATGTGTTGTAAATTAGCATGGTGCCTGGCATTGTCACGGGAGCATACAGGTATTAATTTGGTGATTTATTAAATGTAGCCTATAAATGTTATTATACTTGATTCTAATCTGATGCTAATTAGCAGTCTTAATTAACAAGTCTTACGCTGATGGAAATGCAGATACCACAGAACACACATCATGAATCTGATCTGCGACAAATTGAAGCCTTCATCTCTTTTACAACAGTGTTGCCCCAGACTGGTATATTTTTATATTCTTTATGCTTTAGATTTTCGAGTCTCTGGAATAGTTGATAGTAATGAGGATAATTTTCTGTAAAAGAATATTGATATGACCTGTGAATTGGATTCATAGATGACCGTTAGGTTAGTTTGATGCCAACACTTTCATGTGAGCTGGGAAACTCTGGGTTATAACAGTTGTGTACCAGTACCTGAGCTTTGTCGGTGGTTTAACAGCTCAAGCGCTTATGAGGGGAACAGGTCTATCACATGCTTTGCTGTGAGTCTGGGCTGGGCAGACATCTCCGAAATCATCGAAGAACTTTTGCAAATAGGCTCTATCTTGACAAACCGACCAGATATCTGAAGATTAAACCACTACATTCTCGGCTAAAAAAAATAAATAACAGTGCATTTGGTGAGACAAAAACAGGGTATTTCAAAGTACAGTTTAGTTAGTTTCCACATGCTGGTTGTTGGTGTGGAGAACTGCCCAAAAGAATGGCCACCAGGCCAAAGCAATGGCTTTGACTTGAACAGCGTTAACCCCGCCCCCTGAGTTTGATGGGTGAGGCTGACAGGTAAAACGAATTCATCAAGACAGCCACAGGGTCAGGACTGCCAAAATGAATTAAATAAATACATCATTAAGTAATTAATTAAACGGTTCAATAATTAATTAAAATAAGAAATAAATAAATAATTCATCAAATTTGTCAAAAATTAATTAATCAAATATACAATTAAGCAATTGTTAATTAATGTGTCATTAATTAAATAAAATTTGAAATAAATAAAAAGTATGTATTTAATGTTTTAAATGAAATGAATGGGCATTTTATTAATTATTTAAATATTTCTTTAATTAATTACTTCAAATTTCAATTAATTATCGACATATTTAATTAATTATTTAACGGCGTATTTAATTCATTCATTTCGCCACTCCTGGCCCTCCATATCTACAGAGGGCCTGCAGTGTTTACAAACGCCCTTGCCACTATACGCATGCTCTGACCGGCTGTGATGCAGGGAGTTGAGAGATGATGAGGAGCGGTGCTGCCTCTTTCACTGTACATCACTGATAACATATCCGGCGCCGGTGGGCGGTGCGAAGCCTTGAAGATGCAGGCAGCCTGCGGATGCTGACCAAAGGATGTCAGGCGAGGAACTTCCGCAGGGTACGAGCGTTACTTTTGATATTTTTGGAGAAAACAATCCGCGGCAGCGCGCTGGATGCGTTGGAAGGGAAACTATGAGAACTAAAAGTCTTCTTTGTTAGCCAAGCCTCAGTGAATGAATGCGAGTGAGAATACAGACAACAATAGTTTATTGTTATTCTTCTTAGCAAAACGAGCAGGCCGTGCTTCCCAGCGTTTCGGTTCGAGGTCTTGTGCGCTTTGAGGACACTTCTACAAATTGTGCCCACTAACACATCTACTGAGAGACAAAGCAGCAACTGTGAAGCGTAAATACCCGCTGATCTGCTCAGACGTCTTTAATGGCTTACTGGCGCGTATGACACCCAGAGAGAGGTGATGTGCGATTTGGTGAAAGCTGTCACTTTTGATTAATAACCGAGGCCTTGCTTTTTCTGCAGGAGTTGGCTTTGTTTACAGGGCGGCCAGTAGGCTGAACACGGATCACAGGCCTTAAGTGAACACAGCAGTGCTGCTTCTAGCAGTGCGCATCCAGATCGATCACATTGTTTGTGCCGGTAGATGCTTTTCTCCCTGACGCTCTTCTTGTGGAGGCTCTACCGACATTTCTACATCATGTTCAGCTCTGACCGGCTCACAGTCCCGGATTACGTCAGCCGGCTGCAGAGAGGGAGGAGCGGCTCCGCATGCGACCCCAGGGCCATCTCTCCAGGGATCAATGCCGACGTCCAGGCGGTTTTGGACACGTCACTTCCCGCCCTGCGCTCCGCCATCAGTAGGCTGAAGTCATCCAGGGAAACATCGAATTCAGATGAGACCCGCAGAGCTATCGCGGAGATCTTCCAGCTGGTGGAGGAGGCCTGGGTTTTACCTACCGTGGGTCGTCAAGTGGCCGAGGAGATCTGCAACAGGATCCGGCTGCATGGAGGCCTGGAGCTGCTGCTTCAGCTCCAGCAGTTGCCTGCTGTGGAGATAACTTACGAGTCTGCAAAACTGCTGGAGCAGATACTGATCTCAGAGAACAGGTATGGTGTAACGGTGTGATGCGGTGCAGGACCGCAGAAGACTGTACTACATTGCAGTCTGTTCTTGTACTTAGACATAAAGTTTAAACACTGCTGCGGGTAGTGCAGTATTTGTGTTTGTGTGTCTCCATATTTGTCTGAGTATTCTAGTAATCACTTAGTAAATGATTATAAAATGTGATCTTTATTTACTGAACCTTTATTTAGTGGGGTTAATGTGACTCTTGAGATTATTACTCTCCTTTCCACAAGCAAGCTGGCCAAGACTGGCAGCAGTACAGTTTCAGAAATGAGTGCTCAGCAAAAATACACAAAATAAGTGTAGTACATTTCCAAGTCATCAATTTAAACGTCAGCGTCTGGGGCCAGAACACAGGGGTGGTCAAATATTTGCAGCATGAAGAGGGTGAAGCTCAACACTTGTAGCATAAAGAACAACTTTACTGCTTAGCATCCACGATCCAGATGATTACTCTCCAGATCCAGATGAAGACTACAAGCCGAAACGCGTCAGTCAAGCGATAAAGTTCATTTTTATAGTACAAGTGTTGCTGGCGCGTCTCCATGCAGTTCGAAGGTAGATGAAGCTGTGCCAGACACCTCTGCTCTGTTTCTACAGCCTGAAGTAACTGATCAGTTATATTCACCTGGAATCGTATGAAGTTTTAGTTGAAGGAACTTCCTTGCAGGCATTATACAAATGCATATAACAACTCTGATATGACGGGGGAGCAACAAG